CAGCGGGTTTGGCGTTGGGTTACAAGGAGTCCGTTTTAAGGAATAAGGTGCCACGCTCATTCCAACCCTCAACCTGGAGGACCAGGAGGCTGAGTTTGTCTGGCCTCTAACCATTGACCAATCTGGTATGAGTGACTCTGAAGGTGCAAAAGCACCACCCAGCATAGCTCAATGGATCGCTGAGGCACACAAACCAACGCACCGCGGTAAGGTCCAGCCTCATTGCAACGTCCACCAACATGAATAATTTGATAAATGGCATCAGTGTAAAATTTTAAAAGATATCGAGCATGAACGTTCCAAAATACACCGGGGTGCAGTTATCGTTGACATAAGGCGTGAGATATGTAAAATATGGTCGCTCACCTGGGTCCATTTGATACATAAATTCTGTTGAAGAGCATGCTTGGTGTAATCCACATTGAAGGAGTTTAGGTAACGAAATGTTGAGAGCTAGGAGCAACATGCAATCATTTTTTGAAGACGTCCGAGGTAGGGGAGGATACAACTGGGTCTGGGGGTGCGTTCCAGGGTTGACAAACCCGAAGGGAAAAGACGGCTATATTGTTCCTTCAATTTTAATCAGTTACCCCTGAGCTGCGTGTTGTGGCTAAGTTTCAACAAATGGCGGCATACGTGGTTGGCGTCACTCAATATCTGATACGCTAATATGAGAGCACCGCGCAGCCTTCGATAGTGTCCGCTGAAAATTCCCAGCAACTTCAGCCTTCGGTGGTAAGAGTGATAGTGCAGGCCCTTTACATTATCTGTTGCTCTTCGTTGTGGTGCCTCCAACCTAGCTAGGTCGCACTTCAACCAATGTTGCGAAGCTTGGATAGCGTAGTTAACATGCGCGCGCACGTTTGAATTGCGCATCGTCGAAAAGATTGATGGTTGAATCTCCCGAATGTCATTGGCAGCATGTCGACGTGCTGGTTGTCTCTTCTCGCAGCTATCTCAGCCTGTTTTGAACAGTTGAGATTGCTCTGTACGAGCACACGATGGTCAAGTTCCTGGGAGCTAGTCCGTATTCCGTTTATCCCAAGCAAATATGTGTAGCTATGTCTATGGCATAACAAATCCCACAGGGTGATCGTAGTGGAAATTCAAAGTATAGAAAAAACTGTGAGCATATTATGGTTCACACCGGTGAAATTGCGGCGTAATTCGAAAGTATACATTCACTGTAAGTCAGGTTATTTCAAAACTTCAATCGTACGTGACTGGATGAAAAGCATAGCAAAACCCACAGAAGGGATATACAAAAGAAAATTAAAATCAACTTGTCCCAATCTAGAACCTGAAGTACCAGTGGTTAAACTATTGCACTTTATCAAACGCTTGTGTAGCGTTTATCACCAAGATGAAAGTTTAAGAGTCTTTCGAATGTCGTCATGTCTGGTGCGTTCACCACATATCTTGGTAATGCATTCCAGTGAGAACAGATTCTAAGTGAGTAAAAATGTTTTCTACAATTCAGACGGGAGTTTTGCGTTATTAGGTTCAGGCGGTTGCCTCGGCATTGTTTGTAAGGGGCTAGGGTAAACTGTGACGTACATGGAGGCTCGCTTTCAGTTGGTATCGGGCATGTAATAGTAAAATCTCCGCGAAGCCCTCATTAGTCTAATGAGAACACACCGAGTACATCAAGACGCACTTCGTACATTTGACTGGATAGTCCACGCATTGCCTTTGTGGCTCTTCTTTGGGGTTGTTCCAATAGGGGAATCTCTCGTTTTAACCATGGGCACTAAGCCTGAATGGCATTTGCAACGTGACGGCGAATATAATAGTTAATCAGTATTGGCACTAGCCGTCGCTTAAGGGTTCCGAGAGTTCGCTTCAAAAGTCTCAAGTTCAAGTTCGCCACACTTGTCAGTTGCTAACATAGGTGCGAATTGCCAAGACTCACGTGCACATTGTACCTAAGTCGCGTTCACTAGTCACGTGTTGTAGGACGCGTTGCCCCAAAAGGTATTGTTGAGGGAGCTACTGCGCATCGTCAGCGGGTGGCACGTTGCAGGATTCAGTGGGAGCTGGTCCCTTCTGCACATTCGTTAATCCGAGCCAGGTACTCCTGAAGATAGACACGGTGGAATGATGAGCCAATTGTTCTCCATATTTTAACATTGCAAATATTTGCAACGGGGATAGAATGTTTACTGGAAGAGCATTGATGTAGATTCGAAACAATAGCGGACCGTAGACGGGTCTTGGCGGTACACCATTGGAGACGCATAGGCTTTCGGAGTGAGTGTCGGCTACTCTTACATTGATTGTTCTGTCGTGTAAGTAGTTTTCTAACCAGCTGAGCAGGGAATTGTTGTACCATAGGCCGCAAGCTTTTGAAGGAGAAAGAAGTGATTGACCCTGTCGAATGCTTGAGAAAAATCCAATTAAATCACATATAGGGGGACTTCTTCACCAACCGCCCTGGTCCATGAGTCCAGGATAAGCGGCAAAATGGAGAGACAAGACCGTCTGCGTCTGAAACCATATTAGGCATTAGAAAATATTTGTAGAATTTCAAAGTATCGTGTCAGTTCAACAGCGATTACCGATTCCATCACTTATGATAAAACAGGGATGGTAATAGGTCGGTAGTTCGTAGGATTCGATCACTTACGTCCCTTGTATATTAGAGTGATAATTCCATTTTTCCATTCAGATGGGAGTGTATGGGAGTTAAGCAGAACCTGGAAAAAGTTCTAAGTAGCACTTCTAAGGTGAGAGCAAGGGTTTTCAGTACTTTTGGGCAGATCATGTCGATTCCAGGGGCACTGTACTCCCGAAGAGACTATGATTTGCGTGCAACAGCTGCTGGGGTGAAGGTGACGCTGGATAAGCCAACGAGATTTGTTCGGACTTGTTATGGTGATGGTTCTATGGTATTTGTAGCTACCGAGCCAAACTGCAGGAGTAGAGCGTTCGCGGCATCCACAGCAGTAGTTGTTAGGCCCCTGGCCGTCTCGAGTAGTGGTATTCTGGGTTTAACCTTTCTTTTGCCATTCACAAATCTGTGTGTTATTTTGGTGTTACTGGTAAATTTCAGCACCGTGTTCTCCTGCGATTCGTACTTGACACTAGTGAGCGACGAGCAGTAGTTCCTAATAACTTTGTTTTTCTGCCATATGGTATCACGGACTCAGTGAACGTTGCCTCCAGATTTCATCTCCTCTGTTTATCCATTCACGTGTTCTGCTTCAGATCCACATAGTGGACCGGTGCAATACTCGTAAAGGTACAACCTTCGTTGCTGACTGTATAACCCAGTTAATTGTATCTTTCAGTTCATTCCACACGTCATTCGCTGAACTGTGCGTCTGTAGGTCCCAGCCAATGGTTGCTGCTTTGTGCAGCTTAAAATAGTCCGTAATAATTCGGTGAGTCGTTCTTACTTTATCAACAATACTGGCATAACACATAACCAAATGTTAGGGTTGAATGGTCGCTACCGCCCAATGCAGGATCGTATGCTACTGACTCAATCAGCAATTCTTCATTAGTCAGGATTAGGTTCAGGAGTGATGGCTTGTTTGAATCGCGGTGTCTGGTTGGTCGATGAACATGATTATACAAAATTGCCATATCCATGAATTCAAGGAGCGTCGATTTAAATGATGGCCCATTAGGGGGACATCGATGCTATTGAAGGGACATTAAAGTCACCCATTATAAGATAATGAGAGTACTTTTGTGAAACATAATAGCGGAGGGCGTTTAACAGAATGTTATCGCTGTCTGCTGATGAGTTCGGAGGCCTATAGATAACTGCTAAGAGGTAAGCAGCATTCGTCTTCTGTGAACCAACTTATCGACCTGATAGGTGCAGTCGGCAAAATAGTGCAATTGGAATAACAATTGAATTTTCGGTAAGGACCTCACGTGTCTAGTAATCTCGATGGTAGAGAACAATACCGCCACCGCTAGATGGACGATCATTTCCAATGACTGACATCTTACTGAGTTCAATCTCCGGATCAAGCATATCGTTTGAAAGTCAAGTTTCATTAACTGATATGGGGTCCCAACTGGTTGTTTCATGTTGATGGCGCAGTTCCGAGGGCTTAGAATACAACCTTTGAGTGTTGGTGTGGCAGAATGCTACTTGTTGACACATTGAGAGCTCGGTTCGCTGTGAGTGATCGGCACAAATAGTGCAGGTCTGCTGAAGTTTTTTGTAACGGTTGTTTGCACGGTTGGCTGATCTGAGATAGGTACAACCGAGACTGGCTCATCTGTATCTGAGGTCTGTGTAATTGGAGGAATGGTCTTGACCGTACTTCTGATGACCCTAGTTTCCTGTTGTCATGCTATGCTTGGATCGCCACTGATACCATTTCGGGCGCAGCCAAGGTACATTTCAAAATTCGTGGCCCACTGCCTTAGTAGTTTGTGAAGGCAATTAGAAGGGTGCTTTTAAAAGCCACTACTTTTTGCATGTCTTAGCGCTTTGTGATGTACCTCCATTCTTCAAAAAAATTAAAGGAACAAAGAAAAAAAAAAAATCAAAGAGATAAAAAATCAAAGAAAAAAAAGAAAAAAAGAAGAAAACAAAACCACAAAAGCAGAAAGATATACAAAAAAAAAAAAACAAAGGAGCATGGAGGGTATAGGAACAAGGAAGAAGTAAAACATGAACCCCCCAAATAACTCACTAAAATAAAACAACCAAACAAGGACAACCGGGGATAAAGAAAAATACAAAAACCACCAGAAAAACAACCACAACAAGAACAACCAAAGGCAAAAAAAAAAGACAAAAAACAAAAAACAAAAAAAAAAGTAATAAAAAACACAAAAAACAAAAATAAAACAAAAAAACAAAAAAAAAAAAAAAACAAAAAACACAAAAAAAAAAAAAACAAAAAAAAAAAACAAAAGAAACAACACCACACAACCACCCCCCAAACCACCCAAAACCACCCCCCTCACCCCCACACCAAACCCCCCCACCCACAACCCCCAACCACACCCCAACCACCCCCACACCCACCCACCCCCCCCCCACCCCAACACAACCCCCACCAACAAAAACAACCCCGCCACCCCCCAAGCAACCCAACACCCCCAACCACAACCACCACCCACCAACCACCCCACTCCCCCCCCCCCCCCCCCAAAACCCCTCACCACCACCACCCCCCCCCCCAACCCCCCCCCCCCCCCCCCCCCCCCCCCCCCCCCCCCCCCCCCCCCCCCCCCCCACCCCCCCCCCCCCCCCCCCCCCCCCCCCCCCCCCCCCCCCCCC